TATATATATATATTATATATATATATATATAATATATATATATATATATATATAATATATATATATATGAATATATATTACATATAATATATATATATATATAGATATATATATATATATAAAATATATATATATAATAAATATAAATATATATATATATAATTTATATAATATAAAAAAATATTAATATATAAATATATATTATATAATATATATATATATATATATGTATATATATAATATATATAATATATATATAATATATATTATATAATATATATTATATATATATATATATATATATAATGTATGTATGTATATATATATATATATATAAAATCATATATAGATAGACAGATGGTTAGACAGATAGATCGTTGCACACAGTGATACATAAAAGAATGATGCGTGAACTATTAATAACTTCTGCTTACCATCTCAGCCTTTAAACTACTGACTTACCATAATCTGGATTGAAGATCTGTTCAACAATTAGCTGGAAGAACTCCTTGCTGACACCACCTTCATCTATTCCCTGCTCACCCTCAAACTCTACCACAAGCTGCTTCTTAAGATCCCCTGGGTTCTCAAGTGCGACCATCTCCAACTAAACACAAATACAAGACATTGACGCCAAGTGTCAGAAACATTACCAAGAAAAAGGAAGAGAAGGAACTATGTTTCCAAAATATCTCATTGCAATATGCTGCGTCCCTGGGACAATTGCACAAAAAAGTCTCTGCCCCATTCTCGTCAATATAGTATGAAATACATGACGGACTATTCCTATTATTATATGTGGTGCATGACATTTGTTTTTAGGCTTGCTATGCTTGGTGACTAATGCCAATGAATCACTGTTTATCATCAACAAAGGAGGTATATGGTGATAATAAGATAGAGATAACTATATGAATGGTAGTCATACAATGGATATAACTACTACTGATGCTGTTAAAGCAAAAACCCTTTACAACATGGTACTATAGATACTTCCACTATGCAGCCATCCAGTGCCAAACTACATGGGCACATATAAAGTACATATGTAATAATTAGAGCAGTAACATGGTAAGTCTAGAAAGAAGATATGACAATGCTCTTTTATGGCCTATTGGTGGTAAGAACCCCAACATTCAAGGAATAGGGATGAATACATACCATCCTGTCATCAATGGGATAATACTTGATACCAAACCGTTTCTCAACATTTTGTCACTTCAGGATCAGACCGAGTAATTCAGGTAAAGGTAATGTGGAGGTGTGAAGTAGATCATGTGGCCAATATGCAATCAAGTGGCAATGTCACCATCTATTTTACAAATGATTTCTGAACAAAGCAGCTTAGAGTTAAACAGAGCAACCACAAAGAGGTGTGGTCATGACAAAAATCATAGGAACCCAAGGGGGATGTGAGACTTTTTGGTGCAACTGTAAATCTTTAAAATCCTTGAGGCATATTTATGCAAGAATAATTAGATTCATATGGCAAATTTATATCATTCCCTTTTAACTTGCATTATCTAAATTAAAAAGTAAAAGTGGAAATGGTAATGACAGTGGTAATAACAATAAAAGTAAAATAATAATAACTAATAAATTAATTACAATCAAAATTGTTACCAAGAACAATCAAACAAATAATGTTAACAAAATTAAATATAATGACAATTAACAATAACAACAACAATAACAATAACAATAACAATAACAATAACAATAATAATAACAATAACAATAATAATAATAATAATAATAATGAAAATAATAATATTAGCAACAACAGCAATGGTAATAATAACGTTAATATTAATAATAACAATAATAGTAATAATAATAATAATAGCAGTAATAATAATAGTAGAAGTAATAACAGTAAT